GGAACATTTTATTTAAAGAAGACGCAAAGCTATACAAAATATAGCATATGTCCATAATGTCCCACTCAGTTACTGTCTAAGATGATTTACATCGGGAGTCTCAAACTCGCGGCCCGCGGGCCAATTGCGGCTTGCGGGATGATAGTTTGTGGCCCCCGCCTTGGTATTAAAGTTTAATGTTAGTGCGGCCCGCAAGACACTTAGCTCATTTAGCACGATTAATGCTTTTAATATAACAGCGTTTCCCATACTGTGTTCCGCGGAACACTAATGTTCCGCGAGCATCTCCCGAGTGTTGCGTGGAAAGGGAATCAAAAATACATCTAAATTGGTCGCCATGGCGATCTGAGAATCACGAAGGTTTTGCCCAACTGACCGTTTAAAATTGCGTCACCGTCGGGCTAAATTGGACTAACTAAGTTAGTGTAGTGGCATTTGAAACATCAGCGCAACAGTTAATACAAGATGGAATTTTATAATTTCGCACATCCCTAAACGTGTCATTGGAAGTGAAGTTTCAGTAAACAGAAAGGTTGGTGATGTGATGAGCACAGACAATTTCAAAAAAATGGGAAATGCAATAGTTCTCTGTTGAGCATAGGAGCATACAGACGTGTTTTATCTGCACAGTTAAAGTTGGAGTGCACAAGGAATACAATTTAAACGAGTTGCTAAGCTTTTATTATGAAAAACCTGATGCGGCCCGGACTCATCCAGACTCTGCCCCAGCGGCCCCCAAGTAAATTGAGTTTGAGACCTCTTTACATAGTCTACAATAAATTTTTTATTTTATTTCACTGTCGCAAACTGGTTAACACGTCATCAAAATCTGTTTTTTTCCAATATTTCTCTTTCAACACTTCAAGATCATTGAGACGATCTTGTCCCATTGATGCACGCGAATAGACAAAATAAGTTTCAATTTGCTGAAAGACCGTTCACAGCTTGCAATTTAAACTGGTATTGTTGATAAAATTTGTAGAGAAATTCGCAGATTGGGTAAAACGTCGTCTCAAAAAGACACAATAAAACCAAGAATAGCCAAAGGAGTTTCTGGTTGACCTTCAGTTCTGTTACTGGGCAACATTCTGCAATCTTCAATTTCGGTGAAAAGTTCGTGGCCATTGATGTCCGTGTCGTAGAAATTTGCAAAATATGTGCAATCTCGTCGAATTGTCGAAAACGGCATTGGGGTCTTCTAGCACAGTATAATAAATTTTATGTAACTCTGCCGCAAAGTACGGTACTCTGAAAACCACGAAATACAACCACGTATTACCCAAAACATGTATTAACATCATTCAACCAAATTCCGTTGCCATTTGTTTCCAGCACAGAACTAATATCAACTTACATCGGAGTGCGCAGGCAAGAACTTAACGATACAGAACCATGTAATTAACCGCGTGTATTTTGTTACCTAACGTTACCAAATCAATTTTTGCTTTGTTTCCCGGCCAGATTTATTGGCCATGTAATTACGATGGAAATCTGACAGTGCGCGAGCTATGTGACTGATGACGTCGGCAGTCGACGTAAGTTTTCTGACCAAGTGTACAGTTTGCCATGTACTAAGGCTAGATGTCTGCCGCCAGTGCGATCTTGCTTGTGACTGTTTTTTTTACCCTTGTTGTGAAATTTTTGCTAGCCCCATTTTGGCGCCCCTGTACCTTGGCGCCCGGGGACATATGTACCCCATTGACCCCTGAATTCAAACTCAATATTTCAAACTTGCAATGTCAACATTGTCAAGCCCGACCGACACTCCGAGTATCAGGGCATTACAATTTTTTTTTATCATATTTTATTGTTCAAAATGTCTTCACCCCTTCCATTTCAAAGAAAAAACACAATCCTGCAAAATATTGTTCATATTTGTCCAACTTACTTTCAAAAATTTTAAAACACACAAAAACAGCTAAAAGTTTAAGTATATAGAGAGAACGTCGGGTCTGAATTCAGCAGTATAAAAGTCTATATCTAAATGCATTTAAATTACAGAATTCTACCCTGCTTGTCAGGATGTGATTATTCTGCCCAGTCATGCTTCAGTGACCATAAGCGGGAGAGCTTTTTGAGATCGAATAGTTTAATCCAGGGGTGGGCAACCTTTAAAACAAGATGGCCAGATACAGATAACTTGGCGAAACCGCGGGACGCACCTTTTAAACATAAGCTTTTAGTAGTCGCAGGCAAAACAATATTGGTTATTGATCTTATGACATGTGTAGTTTGCTTCACACAAGTCGTTAGGGCATTGTAACGTCATAAGCGTATATAATAAATTGGACTGAGGTATATGCTTTGCAATGCAAAGGGATTGGAATTACTGGCACAAACCAGATTGAACTAATAAAAACTCGTTTTACAGGCCGTACACCTTTCGAAATTGTCACTTCTCTGCAGACCACATAATTTTTCCTTGTGGGCCGCAGGTTGCACACCCCTGTGTTAGGGCGTCCCTAGAGTTTGGCATGCTTTTATTAACAATATTGGAGTCCGGCAGAGTTTAGTTTGAATTGCTCTTATTGATATTGGAAAGCTGTATTCAAAGACTAAAGCAACGGTTCCCAACCGGGGGTATTTAAAACTATAAATACCACTGGAATGATAAACAAGGGGGCCAATGAGTCCTTAAAGCCTCAGGAAGGGAGCTAGCTGTTGAAGGATGGGAACCACCGGACTAAAAACTAGAGACTACTAGAGTAGAGTCCGGAGTCGAAAATTCAAATCTAAGCGCTCCGGAAATATTTGCATAAAGATGGCGCACAACCTGAACTTTAACCTGGTACCTATACATCTTGGTGCACATACTTCGGGAGCACCCCAATCTATGGCATTATTTTCACTATCCATTGGAATATTCAGAGTAAAAAATACTTTCGGACACCAAGAATTAAAAATCAGCCAAGAACGCTGTGATTTACATCCAGTAAAGAAAAAAGCTGGCATTACACACATAATTAATTCGGGCTTGGGTGCTCTCAAAGTATTCGTATCAAGATGGCGCACAACCTGAACATAGTATGTGTACCAGGTTGAGATTGTTCAGGTTGTGCGTCATCTTGGTGTGAAAACTTCCGGAGCGCCTGGGCTTGTATGTAAATAGCAAAACTTGAACACATTCTGAGATTCTAGTAATGTAAATGACATGTTCCTAAATATGATAATTAGAAAAATACACCACACAGCGAAAAAAATACACTCGAATAAATACTTGAATAATCACACATACCTCATACAAAAATATTGTTTCACCAAAAATTCGAACACAAAATCAGTTGTAGAGATGGGACACAGAGTCTTAGTTTTTTGTGGTCAAAATTTGGATTTCTCTCCTTAATTATAGTTTTGGACTTCTGATGGTGATAACTATAATTTCGTCAAAAATCAAAAATGAAGTGTTTTCTTTACAGACAATTGAAGCGTGTATACGCAGAAGCGTAGCCTGGCATTTTTAAAAGTGAAGGTCTTGATATTTGTTATTGCCAAGTTGGACTGTAATTGCTAGGTCTGTCCGGTGGTCGTATAGGTCTTCAAGAGTCCCATAAAGTGTTTTATGCTACAAAAAATTGCTTTTTTTACATTTCAAAAGGATGCCGAAGCAGATGGGTTTTCAGGAATTCAAAAAGCATTTTTTTTACGAAAAATTGCTATGTTTAAATCAGTAATATGCCTTTTTTACATTTAAAAAAGAAAGGAGCAACCCTCAAAACCCCCTGCTGGCTATGTCCCTGTATATAGACTACAGTTTCCATTATCTAATTTGGTTTCCAAAGTTCAGTCCTGGAATCATAATTGAAACTTCAAAAAAGATTCATTTCCTAACAGTCTATCAAAGAAGATCATAAATATAATAAAAGTAAAGGGAAGACCACATTTAAATGAGTAGATTGTCATAAGGAATTGTGTCGGTGTCTTTCTTAATAAATATATGAGAAACCCAATCTACGAGCTATTCCTAACCCTATAGGATATGCCATAACCCTATATATAATCATATATTGTCAAATCTAAAATGCTTCATAAATACAGGGTGTCCATAAAGTCCGTTTACAATTTCAATTTTGTTAAGAAGTAAGTTATCAATATTATTTTAACCAGGTTTGTTGTTTTTTAATCAGTAATTGTTAAAGTGTTTTTACCTTCATTTAATCTGTCTGTGAGGGCAAAAACAATATATGGTATCGTAACAACGTATTGTTTTGAGAAATAATATCCTCTATCTATGCTGTATTTTTGTTAATGTAAATATGAATAAAACAAAATTTTATTTTTTATTTTTTTTTTGGGGGGGGGGGTTATTATTACAAAAAATATTTGTGACTGAGTGGTGTTCCCGATAAGCAAATACAAAGTGGTGATTATGTTGAATATACAGAAAATGAAAAAGCGGGGGAGCACAACATGGGAGTTTATCTTGGAAAAGAGGGGAAGGGGAGAAAAAAAACTGGGACCCCAACAGATAGCACCCACTAGAGCGGTTTTCCTTCTTGGCTAGGTCATTGAAATGGTGGGGGGACAGGGGGTGTGACAAAAAATGTCATAACCTCTCTGGGTCCTGTGTTGTGACCTCACCACAGGCAAATGCGCCCAAATTCTTAAAAAAACTTGAAAAACATGTCTGGATATATATGCTGTATTATTGCCTGTATACAGCTCTCACTTGAGTGAGACGACGAAAATTAAAGGGGGGAAAAGGGGGCAGGGTGAGAGATCAGAAAAAAGTTCAGGGCCTACAGTGATACCTAGCCACTGCCGGTCTGTTCAAAATATTTATGCAAGTATGCTGAATCGTGATTTATATAAAATTTTACTCAAATTCAAATTTATCTGAAAAATTCCCCCATCCCTCAGAAATTTTTTTTTGGTTTCCAAATCTGTTTTACACTAAGATAAAAACACAATCAGTAAATATTACAGAAAAAATAGAACACACTTTTTCACACAAAAGTATAAGTAAAATTAAAATAAAATCCCCTACTTTTTTATCCCCAGTGCTCCCTCCTTTTTAATAAAAACACAATGCATTAAAACCTAATAATAATAATTCCTAATTTTTTTTTGGTTTTTTTCTTAAATTATTTTTTCTTTGCATATTCGCAGAGGTCCTTCACATCCATCATTGCTTTTTCGATGTTATCAGCAAATCGAGATGAGTTCTGATAAGATAAATAGATAAGGAGATAATAACATGGAAATACACATCAAAAGAGTGTAATCAGAGAGTAACCTAGATAAAAAAGTTAAGATAAGATGATGATAAAATAATGAATACGGTAGTCTAATAAGATAAGCCCGCCCGATGCTGCCACAACCAAACTAAAACCAAATTTTGATGTTTAAGTTTAAAATAATTCAAGGAATTTTTTGAGCTTGCGATTAAACGTAGTTTTGGCACGAGGCTTATTGTTTTCCACCTTTGCGTTTGCAACACTGTAAATATTTTTCATAAAATGTAACTTTTTAGTCACACCTACACACACACCGGTCAAGGTGGGCAAACTAACTAACTAATCCCATACCCAATATGGACTGGTAACCGGACGACAGGCCGTGGTTTGCCATAGAATCAAGCTGTCGTCTTTCCCTCCCCGGGATAGATATGAAATACATCATATAGCAATAGCTGCAAATGCAGGTCACATGAAATATTATGAAAGGACTACTTACTGTCTCATGAGAGGAGACTTTGCTTGAGATGTGAAACATTTTTTTGCTTCGAAAAAATGCTTTTGTGGTGGGCAGGTCGCTATATATTAAGATGCTTAGATTGGTTAGACATAAAACGCTTCGGAGTACAACTTCGCCGTTCACTGTCGTATGTATAAAGCCAAATAATAGTTGGTCATCATAGATGCTCGTTTTCCCCTCAGTTTGCAATACCTGGTAAAGTCAAACTAATTTTTAAGTAAAACTAAACACGCAATAAACCTATGCTTTATTGTATTTTCTGCTTAAACGTTTACATAAGACATGTAAAATTTCAATCAATGGTTTACTTCATCACTATTGAACGATGCCAGAATTATTTACTGTGTGTTAAAAAATAAGCAACGATTACAGACTTCTTGGCTTGCCTAACGTTTCAAACAAAATGGAGAAGTACAAATGAATTTATGTAAATTTAAAAGCGATTCATTTTTTAATAGTAATTATGCATGTGGACGTTCCCCCGTCCCTTGACCGCAGAATAATAAAGTCGCTAAGGCGTTTGCGATTGCATTTTGTTTAAATCTCGATTGTTTTCGTAAGCGTGGCGTACTATTTGAGCCATAAAAATCTTGATTTCGCTGTTTATTCTCCCTAAATCAGAAATTTTGTCGAAGAAAGACGATTAAATAAATACTTTTTTTGTTCTCGAATGGAACCATGACACCTCTGAGATAAACGAGTTAGTTTTTGTTATATAATCATCAGCGACGAGATGCTAAAGATAGAATAAAGTAGTGAATCTGCAACCAAATATTTTTTTTTGTAAAAGCGAGATAATAAAATACGACACACCAGTAGTGTTCTGAAACTATTGACTTAAAATAAATTTTACTCCGTGGGATTTTATCGCAGACTAAGGAATTTCTGTCACAGTGATATCTTAAAGTTAATCAAGCATTGCAATAGAGCGGAGTGAGAGTTGCAGTGACAGCTCATAATGGTGAAATTGGCAAGAATATAAATGAAAACAAAATGTAATCGGGCACTTTTCCGCACATTTTTATGGTTGCAGATTACCGTGATATTTTGGAGTAGTGGTGCTTTTATTTTATCGACGCAATCGCAGATTTAATTTATCACAATTAAATATGAATAATGCAACCATTTTAAATAAGTATATCGGTCATGGATGGATATTTTATTGAACAAGAAAACCGTTACATATCCGTTGACAAAGTCGGCTCTTATAACGACTGGCGTAATCTCGAGGACTGACTCGGGATCCGTACCGTGCCGGTATTGAGTCGATGAATATGTATTTTTCATATACTAATATACATTATATGTATTTTTATTGTACTAAATTAAATATACTTTCTGGGATATTATACCAGATCTATCTAATGAAGACAACAATTTCGCATAAGTGCAATATATATCAAAACTAAATATAAACGGGCAGTTGATCACACTTTAATATGTCCGCAGATTGGCGTGGTATTTTAGATCGATAATGAGTTTATTTTGACACATGAGTCGCCGCAACCGCGAGTTACCTTGAACACAAATGAATTAAAATAGAGAGCCATTTTGAATTCTTGTAGTTATTACGAGACAGAAATTTATTATACCACGAAAAAGACGGTATTTTTAACGAACGCGGAGACATTTCAGGAGCCGTTACATGTAAATTCCCGATTTCATCCTGTGACCTCTCACGACCCCCTATGAGCATCTCCAGTTTAAGAATCACTGCACTAGACTATACCCCAATTATGTTTCACCAGAGTAGACCCCCGATATTATTATATCATAACTTCCATATAACATGATATTATTACTAAGGATTTGGTGTTATGGCAGCTTATCTTTGAGCACTATTTCATGGAGTATTTTCATGTCAAATACCTCTGAAAATGAATCAGTTTCGGGAGCCATTATTAATGAATTTTAATAATGGCTACAAAACATGATCATGAATGGGGAGAAAACTTCTCAAAAAAACTCTTTGACTAAAACAGAACATTAGGAATACAATTTAGCACTTTAAAACATTTAATTGAGTGTTCCGTTCACAGCTACACTCTGAACAGGGCCTTTCACAAGTCAGCACTGATAAGTGGAAATGAATGATATATTGCCTTCTTGAAGGAAATCTAAAAATTTAAAATTTTAAGTGTTTTAACACATACATTTGAGTTAAACTCTGGGTTACTTTCAAAATAATTTATTTATTACCTTGTCATTGCCCCACCTCGAATATTTGATCTATTCTCTTCTTTGTGTTTATATTAGGTTGGGATAATAAGAAAAGAAGAGAAAGTTGGGACAATAATTGAATCCAACTCACGAAAAACAGGAAAGAAAATATATACGGTAAGAAAAATAATGGCAAGCCCTAAATTGTTAATCTGCTCGGCGGTGTGGCCCATCGTGCTAAGCGTTGAAAATACGCTCGCTACCGTACCATTGGATAACTTGCATGAATTTGTAGGTTTGAATTCTGTGATAGATAATTATGTTTGAGAGGATTGTTGGACTACTCCCCACGCCAGACTGGATTCCATGGCAGGTGCACGCCCGGGGTCGCTGGAGATCCGCAAAAATGCACGCGAGTTGATTTTGCATGTCGAAAATTTGCAATTGCCAACCAATGAGAATCGTTTAAAATGATTTTTAAATCAATAACCCAGTAATAAAAAGATGCCAACAAATTGTAGCTCCACAATGTTGAATATACACTAGCTTGCAAGCTTTGCCCAGATCGAAAAATGCAAAGCAAAAAGACCTCATTTTATAAGGGCATGGCGATATGGTGCATCGTGTTGATTGGTACGAATTCCGTGAGAATAATTATAAGCGAAAAGAATGCTAGACTCCGCGCCGTCGGGGAGGTTAGTTACGACTTCCCCCGCCATCAAGTCCACGCATCTGAAACATGTAACTGACCATTCAATAAAACATTTAAATCAGTGTTTAATCACCAAATCGCATAAACACTCTCAGAATAAATGATAAAATATAGAGAGTATGTTTGAGGGTCAAAGGTCAAACGTCCATTTTGCTCTGATTTACGTAGTATATTCTAGTAGTGACTATTACTGAATCTAAAGTATTTAAAGTCACAGTCAGTTAGTTGCACACCGGGAATTCTGATTTGCACGCAAGAATTTCTGATTGCATGCCCAATTTCTCGTTCAAGAAGGCCATGAAATCCAGACTGGTCCCCACGTTGGTTCACGTAACCGCTGGTCAGTTGTGGCTATCTCTACCATCAAGTACATTCATCCGAAATCAAATAACTGGCTAACTAATGCCATATCCGACATAGACTGGTATCAGGTGGTTCGCCATATGTTATTGGCTTTGTTCTCCCTCAGGATACTATGTACTGGTAAATTCTATCCTATCCTAATAATAATCTTCTTTTTAAAATAAAATTAAGTTCAAGAGCCACAAGTAATATTAAATTTAAGCTATATCTCTATCGTTGAGGATTTCAAAGTTTTGCCTGCATTTTCGATACTTTGCCTCCATGATACCTAAAAATATTTAGGCCGGAAGTTACAATTTAGTCGCCATGGATACCTACACGGATATTGCTCATTGTTGTCATATAGTGGCCTCTATTAACATTCCCACAAAATATCAAATCGGCTAAGAGGAAAAGTGATTACAATCAGTTCGATAGTGTAAAAAATCATTAAATAATATTATTTGATGTGCTGAAAAAAAAAGTCGGAGTTGGGTTGAAATTAAATGAAATGTCCTGATCATCAGATGTCAATCATCGCAGGCCACATTGATGAATTTTGCTGTTCTATACTGTCACCAAGTGTAGACTTTTCGAATATTTTTTCATGCCAGTCATGACTATTTAGCTCACTGGTTCTCAACCAACCAGTGGGCCATGTCCCACTGCTGGGCCACAGAAAGATTTTGAGGTGGGCCACAGAGCTATTAAAAATTGCTAGTTTTATTTATGTCACAATAGTTAATTTTGATTGTAGCAAGAAATGACGATGCTGTTTTCTGCTACTGAGAGGTAATTCCCATTCTAATAATAAACATTGAAGTGTCCATTTTCGCAAAAAAGATCTCAATTTTTCTTGTAGTTTCCCCGTTGCAATAAAAAGTTAATGAGCCACAAGAATTTTTGGGCAACAAAAATGGGCCATGAAAAATAAAGGTTGAGAACCACTACTGATTTAGCCCATCTGCCATACATTTTGGGATGGTTTATTGTAGAAAAAAAAGATCTTCTGCATGGAACCTGATTCCAGAATATTTTTCGTTATTTATTCAGATGTTACTATAATTAAACACAAATGTTTATGCTGAATAAAAGAATTTATTTGGAAAACATTTTAGACTAGAAGGTATTGGTAACATAAATGGTTGCAACAAATTTTTAATTGTTACTTTCAAATTATCGAATATGCACCGAATTAATTACTTATCGATTTTAATCGGTGAATATGTTGATAAGTATTTCTGTCTGTCTATATGTCTGTTAAATGCATTCGATATCTCATGAAAGCAAGATTGAATCTGCTCCAGATTTTGCATGTGCATTTATCTTATCTCGGACCAGAAGCCTATTGATTTTGGGCGAATTATGTGGTATATTTAGCGAGTTATTAATTAATTAGTGATGGGACACAAGGTGTCACTATGGAGTAAGAGTGCTGTTTTGCGGGATCCCCTGACTTTCGATCGATCAGTCTTCGGTCTCTTCAGACCAATATTGTCGTTTTTTGATTGTGGACTTTACCTTTTCAGGAACACTGGTATTTTTCCACCTGCATAAAACAATGATCTCATGTTCTCAAAACAATGAGATCACCGATAATCCCACAGAATCTTTTAACATTTTACCCTCCAATACTTCATATTTATCATGTGAAAGACGTCCACCAACTCAAGGCAGACACAGAAAACTGAATATACATAGCGGGATATACGATCTGCAGATCAGATATGGGATTAGCAATCAGATAGCTCATATACCCATTGGACTGGTGTCGGGGATCATAGCTTGACTTCTTTCTTCAGTAGCGTTAGCGTAAGATACCGTTTTTACTGTAAAATGACCATTTCACCGTGCAGAAGTTGCAAAAAATATAGCATGTTAGATTTTTAGTTCACATGG